CAAAACCAAAAATTTAAGAAAGCGGATACGGCAATATAGTATAAGCAAAAATATATACATATAGAAAATAAGTATCATATAATTCAAAATATAAGAAAAAAAACCTAGTTTAATGTCTTAACTAAAAAAAAAATCTTAGATTTCTTTGTATAATAGACATAAAGAGTGAGTTTTTAAGACTTTTTCCTTTCTTTTATATTTTGTTTTTGAAAAAAATCGAGTTAAATACAAATAAGCACATTGAAGACACCTATTTTTAATTTTAAAAAGTTTTCGAAACGTTCTCGAAATTAGTTGTTGTCCATGGTTAACACGAAAAACTCCTGAAACGTCCCTATGCAGTTTCTGGCGTGTTCCCGTCCCCGAACCGGGGACGTGGCCTAAAATAGCGTCCCCGTGCTTCCTAGCCTAGTAGAGCATCTACCGAGATGAGTACAACTCAAAATCCCGAAATGTAAAGATTATGGAAGAAAAACACTATCTTGCCCTAATTTATTCATTTTCCCGTTGATTAAACACCTAGTTGTATTTTTCTTTTTTTTCAATTTATGGCAACGAATAAATAATTGTGAAGAGAAAAAATGGAAAACAAAAAAGGTGATGTAGTTATCAGAAGGAAAAAGAGTAGGGTCCATAAGGCAACTAGATTGTAGGAAGCAAGCCCACATCGTAACGATGACCCTTGACCTTAAAATCTCTATACAAAAGCTCCCTTTAAACAAATTAACAACCCACACATCGTTATAGTAATGTACATTCATCTTCTTCTTTTTCCTTTTCTTTTCAAATTTCCTGATATTTATAGATGAACTCTCTATTTATATGCACACATTATGTTTAAGAAAAAGGTCGAATTAAATAGTGTAGGTTAAATAGTTTGCCTCCGGAAGATGTGGCTTTTTTCATCGATAATTAAACGTTTCATTAGAAAAGTTTTTTGTTATTTTAAACAAAAAAGAAAGTTGATCATTATTTAAAACTAGTTGATGTGACAAAGAGTGTTTTTTT